TATATATTACACTTCCCTTATCTCTTATCTGTTGATTGAAAGAACCTCAGAATCACCTGCAGATCAGCCCCCCTTCCCCCCTCCCCTCCCCCCCTTCCCCTCCCCCTCCCCTTTCTAGATTATTTCACCATGCGATTAAATTGACCATCGTAACCTTTACCTAACCCAATTGAACCTTAACAAATCAACAGAAGAATATCATGGATAGTGTAAACCTGACCTAATCTGACCTGACCTAATGCTCCAGGTAGTGTTGGGGTGTTTTGATGAGCATGGGGGTAATTTTCAGGTGATTTGAACCATCCCTTAACGAGTGTTTGAAAATTAATTGTAATTGTGGTGGTTACTGTAGCGATTGTTGTTGTTGTATTCATGAGTAATCTTGTGATATCGTAAATGTGGTAGTGGTTGTTGGTGTGTGTGTGTGTGTGTGTGTGTGTGTGTGTGTGTTATCTCTTGATACTATCTCTATTATGAGGGCTCAAGGGTGGGATTAGTGTGTTAGCCCCATTGTGTGTGTGGTGGATCAGGACGGGCGTTAATGAGACAAGTTTTAATTAGTATCTTCTGTAGTTCCTCCTCTCCATCGTTAATTCTTTTTTGTCAATTTAGTTATATTATTATTTTTTCTTTCCATTGATAAGTTTTCTTATTTTTTGTCTTGATATTTTGTTTCTCTCTCATAAACTCGGGCAGCCAACCATTTAAGAGGTAGACAGGTGGCACTGTTCTCATTCATAAAATTGAACGTAAACTGAACGTAAAACCTTCATTACAAGGTGTACAGTACCTGCTAATGATCTCACTTACCTGGAAACACCTGGCTCATTAAGGTGCTTGTTGCTTTTACCACTTGACGGTCGGGTGTTGTGTAACGACCTCAGGGGGGAAATATTATGACTGTTGGGGAATGTTACGACTTTTAGGGCAATATTACGACTTTTGGGGCAATATTACGACTTTTAGGGCAATATTACGACTTTTGGGGCAATATTACGACTTTTGGGGCAATATTACGACTTTTAGAGGAATACTACGACTGTTGGGGAATATTACGACAATCTGGGAAATACGACAAGACGACTCGCATTAAAATTACGAGTCTTTATATATTGAAGGAAACATTAACTGAGTAAAGTCTTGAGACAACTGAACAACATAACTGATGAACATGACAGTTGGACGATTTAAACAATAGAACAACTTGACAACATATGGGACGACTCATGACTTTTGATTGACATTTCAACCTTTTATAACACATACCTACCACAACTCTCTTATAACTTGTGACTAACACTGTGTGAAATTCCATACCACAGTGTTTGGGTTATTTTAATTTTTTTTCTTCACATATTCTCCATCATTTCAGATCTTATTCCATTTATCTTCAGTCTTTGGTGTATAATATGACCTCGACACATTATCCTCTGAGAAAATTAAAGTGATTCTGGATAGTTTAATCTTTCATATAAAACATGACATTACTGTAGGGTCTCACAAGCATAAAGCCACAAGTATAAGGTAAATACATTATCAAGAACAAGTTTATCTAAGATGAAGAAAATATATAAGATAAAACACACACACACACACACACACACACACACCCACACACACACACCCACACACACACACACACACACACACACACACCCAGACACCCACCCAGACACCCAGACACCCACCCACCCACCCCCACCCACCCACCCACCCAACCTCACCCACCACCCACACCCACCCACACCCACCCACCCACCACATTACTCCACACACACCCACCCACTCCACTCCACCCACACATCCACCACTCCACACTCCACTCCACCTGCTCACACCCACCCACCATTCCACTCCACACCCACTCATTCCACTCCACTCCACCCACACACACACACACACACACACACACACACACACACACACACACACACACACACTTGGGTGTTTAAGATAAGTAGTAATTTGTCAGTTTTATTGATTGATCAGCAAGTTAATATAAATAGACAATGAAAATTTCAATAGTATATGAACATTATTTTGATGACAGAGATACATATAAAAAAATAGAACTAATCTATTGCAATGTTCTGAAGACTTCAAAACTCAATTGGTAACTTCAGCCAACTCGTCATAAAGAAGAAGACGACGACAACAAGACAACAACAGAGTGGAATTGTTGTGGGACAAGTGTTAAGTGGAGGCAGTACAGTAGTGGGGTCTTGGCCAGCTCGTAAACACAATTGACTTCACCTTGTGTGCTTTTTGTGGTCATTAAAGGTGAGGGGGAGGATGAGGGGGAGGGAGGAGGGATGAGGGTGTGAGGGGGAGGGAGGAGGATGAGGGTGTGGAGGGGAGGGAGGAGGATGAGGTGTGTGTGAGGGGGAGGGAGGAGGATGAGGGTGTGTGAGGGGGAGGGAGGAGAAAGGTGTCTGGGTGAAGGTGAAGATAGGAGGCGAAGAGACGAGGTAAGGTGAAGGAAAATGTGTCTGTCCGTGATAATGTTCCCTAGCAATGACTAGCGTCTGGGGGCAGTACGTCGTGTGGAAGTATAATAACACAAACGATGGTCAACTATTTAGTGCGTTAGTGTGTGTGTGCGTGCGTGCGTGTGTGCGTGCGTGTGTGCGTGTGTGCGTGTGTGTGTGCGTGCGTGCGTCACCTCCTGGAGTCCATGGTCTGGTCATGCTGGAACTTGGCATGGGGATTTTCTTGGTCTTTCTATAGTTGTGTCTCAAACTTATTAAAGAAAATGGTACCCGAGGTGGTGAAGACTTCAAAGAAAACGATGACAGACGAGTGATTGCCTCTTGTTATTACCACCCTCATGTACTTCACTCTTTCTCGCGTTAGTAAATAAAAAAAAGTCCTGTTGGAATTATATTAACCGAACTTAAATTACGATATATTAATTTGGATAATTTATACTTGAATGATAATCGAATAAATCAATGAGTTTTAAAGAACACTGAAACAACCAATCAAATTTCGCCTCACCTGTTGAGAATGAAGAGATGAATTTGAGGTCAAGTTTATTTTATAATTAGTGCTTTAACGGCGTCGAAATTGCACCTGAGACTACCTTAATTATACCTGAAGGGATTTAATCACCTGTGCCATTCAATATAAGCATAACTCTTATGTATTTTACCTCAACACACTGTGAACACCTTACTTAAATAATCAAAGGAGAATTGCTTTTTGTTTTTAAGAATACAATTGACATAAAGATAAAAGTTTTAAGTTATCGTGTTCAAACAAACTGACAACAAAGTGACTCGCATCATTTAACAGATTCTCCACCGCAAAAAAAAAAAATCGTTCGCACTCAGGTTTGACAAGAGTGTGGGAGAGCTGGAACACACACGATCAGGTATCATAATGAGCGACTCACCTGACGTTCACCTCCCCCCTCCACCCCATCTCCCTCCTCCACTTAACTTTACCCCCCCACCCCACCCCACCTCCTACCCACTCCCCCACTTTTTTTTTTATCTTTCTCTGGTATGTAAATGAGATGGTTTCACTTAAGTTTAAATCCCTCTGGTGCTTATGCTAATTTCCCTTCCCCCGCGGGCAGGCAATCCTTTGTTGAGTACTTGTTGGAATATTTATACATAAACGTAAAGCGTGTTGAGGGTTTTTCACACTGGCTGTATGTCTGTGTTTGTCTTATACCTTCCTAGCCTTGGTGATGGATGGACGATTGACAACAACTCCCAGTAGAGATGGAAGACTGGGAAGAAAGTCTCATGATCTGGGTTGACTGTCAGTACTGGAGGAGACATGAGCAATAACGAGAGAGGACTGTGCCTTGTAAACACTGGCCACGTGACCTGCAGTAAACATTACGTTATCTGACACGTGATCTCATGACGTCAGCCACAAGCTAGGATCGATGGTATTGGTTCTAACTCTTGTGCAAGTTTGTCAACACACTTCTAACTTATCCACGCATTAGGATCACTTAATAACACTATTAGAGCGGAAATTATTCATTCAGATTATATATTTTATTTAATGGTTTCAAGGTTTTATTGTACTTTAATTATGAAATGAAAAAACAAAGTATGAAGAATCAGTTTTGAAGTTACGTATCCAATTGGGGTAGTGTTATCAACTCGACCGTGATTGGTTGAGTTTATTTTCCCTCCCGCCAATAGAGAGACATTTCTGATGTCACTGCCTCCTCCTTTTGCTATCCTTTCAACCAGAGAGCAAGTACATGACGTCACCGCCTATTCGTGTTGCCGTCTACCCCTTCAATGACGTCATCACCGACGCGTGTCCAAACGTTAGGTGTACTTGAGGTGACACTTAACGCTTTGTGTACACGACGCTAAATTGAACTGCTGGTTGACGGGGAGCAAACACACTGTGATCCACCCACTACCCTCATGTACTTGACCCAGTGCCAGTACTGTTGGCACCACCACTTTTAAGGGAAAACCACGTACTTTAGGGAAAGGCCACAGGATGACTCAAGCACTTCACCATACCTTATTTATATCAGATCTAACATCAAATCCTCATGTTTCACTCTGGCCGCCTCACTCAACCCGTTCAATCGACAATATTAAACTTATCTTTTGAAGTGTCGCCAAAAATAACTTTTTTTTTTTCTCCACACGTCGATCTGATTTACCAAATTTTTATCAGAAACAAAAAATCCCTCTCCATAAGTGATAATATTTATCCCAACAGCGTCTTATCTTCCCCTAAATTTAAGCAACATGTAAGTAGATATAAAAAAATATATAGTTTCTTGGAAAAATTTTACCACAAATTTACCCCCAAAATAATCCTACCCCAAATTTCAAGGGGAAGAAAGTGCTATACCAAAATATTATCCAATTTTTTTTAGTTTAACAAAATACTGTACTTACCCAAAAATATAACTAATCACAAAAATATTTAATTGTAAGTTAAGGTTAAATTATTAGTGTTGAGCAAAAGTTGGCCAAAATAAGACTAAATCATATTGTGTTCTATTTCACCAGGTACTTGTTATGCCGGCCAGCAGAACACAGAGACGCTGGTAAGGTTCGTCTTGGTGCCCCAGTTCTTGTACCTGGTGACGGGTGCCACTCTGGTGCTGGTGGTGTTCGCTTGTCTCTGGAAGGCACGATCACGGCTTCGTCAGGAGGGCTTGAAGACCGACCGTGTAGACGTTACCGCTGCCAGGGTGGGCGTAGTGGCCGTTCTCTACATGGTCCCCGCTACCTGTCAGGTGAGTCACGGTGCCTAGGTCAGGTGAGGGCTGCCATAGTTCAGGTGAGGGGTGCCATAGATCAGGTGCAGGGTGCACTATTGTAATCTAACCTTACTTAACCGATCCTAATCTAGTCTAATGTTATGTAAACTCCTGTAACTTGGTATCACGTTCCTCTCACTCACCATATGTCGTTGTGTTGGTCAGGTTGGTGCCACCTTCTACGAGTACGTGGAGCGGGAGCTGTGGCTGCGGGACCCGACAGTCAGACCCAACATGGAGGTGTTCATGCTCAAGATCTTCATGTCCATGGCGGTGGGCATCATGGGTGGTCTCTTTCTCATCAACGGCCGCGTCCTACACTCCTGGAGGCAGCTTTTCAGGAGGTTCACCGCCAGGAAGCAACCCCTGCCGGCGTATCTTCAAGCTCCACAGTTAACGCCGGCGACACAGGCGGCGCCGCACAAACACCCGCCCAGTCACCATCACCACCACTATTTGCCTCACCAGCACCGCCACCTTCCGGAGCCAGGGATACCCGACGTCCACGGCGGCTACGTCCAGAGGTACCCACCCCCTGTGGCTCCCAAACAACACCACCACCATCACCACCACCACACACATGCGTCCAGGCACAAGTGTGGTTCTGAGACGCAGGTGTAGGACACACAACCTCTCCTGAACCAGTCAAGAGCCAGAGGTCATCAAGCACCAACACTCAAGAGCCCCAGCTGTAATGAGGGTCAACAGCCATGAAGCAGCTGTACTCCAGATGCAGGAATAACTATGAGTGAGTCAGTGATGATTCACAAGTGACTCTACATAATGTGACTCTTAAATGGCCAGGAGTCCTCAGAGTGACTCAGGCCACAGAACTTACTCGTAGTGGAGGTGACTAATGTGACTCAAACGGACTCAAATAGACAGCCAGGACTGGTTGTAAAAGTGATGTTTTATTTTCAACATTATTATTAATATTACAAGTGCTGCCAAATCCTAGACTAACCTCTTCCATCCCTGTCTTGTGTTGGTCACGAGATGGACACAAACCAAAGTCAAAACAGCCTTCTTGGGCCTTGGCTTCATCATGGTGAAGAAGCCTCGTGGGGCCTTAAGTGTTTAGTGGTGCTTTATTTATAAGTTGTCTTATCTTCCCTTAAGAATATATTTTATAAACACATGATAACAAAAATCAAGTCATGGTAAAAACGCTATATTTTATAATACTTTTTGTACGAGAAAAAAAGAAAATTACTAGAATACAGTTTTTCTTCTATTTATTCTGCTCTGCCTAAAGGCTATACAGTCGTGTACTTCCAACAGTTAACAACTATACTTCCTCACGCTTCTGAGAAAAACCCAAACATTTTCTGATGCTTGTAAAAATAATACATCCTGTAAATGCCCATACAAACACCAGAGCTATTTTCTACTGCCTGTAAATAGAAAAGCAACGTTATTTTCCGATGCCTGTAAAAAAACAAACATATTTTTTAATGCTTGTAAAATAGCAGTGATGAAGAGGAAAGATAAGCATATAGATTTATATTTATAGAATGTACATAAAGTGTGTGTGTGTGTGTGTGTGTGTGTGTGTGTGTGTGTGTGTGTGTGTGTCTGTCGTATGTAAGCTGGTCAACCACACAACACAGCTATTACCTGAGCCACCAATCGTAAACACACAATTTGGCTTCACCACCAGCCTTGTTAGCCACCATGTTAAGACCCCACAAAGTTTTACCTTCCTTGTGGTAACGTTGTGAAGACTACAGAGTACAAGTGTGTTAAAAATCACATATGCTACGAGAGAAATCAGAATATTTGTTTTAACATTTACGTTTCAGTGATTAAGTGCATTCAGTCGTAATTTAATCATTTTTGTCACTCTTAGAAAATATAATTGATTTGGTAAGTTATTCTTTGGAAGATTATGACAAAAGTACGAGAAAATGTGTTCCAAAGTCACAGTAAAACAGTGTTTGGATAGAAGTTGGACTGTGATGGTTGACAACACTGGTAGTAAGAGTTGTGTGTCCTAACTCGGTGTCAATAATTTCATGCGGGAAAATAGAGAGAATAATGAAAGTGGGTGTGTGGGTGTGGGAGTGTGTGTGTGTGTGGGTGTGTGGAGAGAGAGAGTCAGTACTGGTGCTTTATGTGGAAGAGATGTGCCGGTCAGTTAAGAGATGCGTTATCATTGGGTTCAGTCGAGTTATCTTTGTTAATTAAATAATTTAAGTAGCTGTTGCGCTGCTTAATAACCCTGCTAACTTAACAGCCAAGAGTGAAGTGAGTGGAAGGAAGTATTGTAAGTGGGCCAGTTCCAATATCTTGAAGGATCAGTAACATGTTCAGAAAATATGGAGGTGTTTCGAATTTCGTTACAGTTTTGTCTTATTATTATTATTATTATTATTATTATTGTTATTATTATTATTATTATTATTATTATTATTATTATTATTATTATTATTATTATTATTATTATTATTATTATTATTATTATTATTATTATTATTGCAGCATCACCCTCGACCACCATTTTCCAGGCCACACACTGGAATTGCACTCAACCCCCCGCTGGCCACACTTACCCTTCAGCAGCTCTTGTGACTTACGAGGATCACCTGTAAGTGCAGCAGTATGCCCAGACGCAGCCGTGAATCACGCGGGCAAAGGGTTTTTAAATTGATGTTTTTTTATTGAAATTCTTACGGCATTTTGGGCATCATTTTCAGGGTACAGTTGAGGGGATACAGTGAAAGTGAAATACAGTCAAGTGAAATTTGACTTACAATCGTTTGAGATTCTGGATACAGGCTTATTCAGGGTTAGGTAAATTCTTCCATATTGAGAAAACTTTTTTTTTATATAAATCGTCAACATTATTACCTCAGGCATTTCTTTATTTTGTTCAGTTAGACTTAAAATTTTAAGGAGGAAGACCCCCCCCCCCCCTTTAATGCATACCAAGGTTCAGGGTCCATTATACTGAGCTTAAATATTTTGGGTTCCTTTTAATTTATTTCAAATATTTAGGAGTCGGTTTGTTGCCGAGTTAATACATTTTTCTTTTTTTTTCTTTAAAGTCAGACATTAATTATTAACTAATATGATATTGACGTTAAGTATTAATCAGTTTTATATTCTGTCAGTTTACTATTGAACCGGAATATTTAGGCCAGATTAATGTTCAACACTTGGATTTTTTGAACAGAGTTAATGTTGAACACACATGTCAGTTTATTGTTGATACTTTGTACTGTATATGAGAATAATTAATGTTCAGTTGTTTCATCTGGTACTGTACTTAAAAATGTTTGATACTGAATATATATTTGAGGGGGATTGTCCTCACGGTCACCGTCATGTGCACATTGGCTGTGTTGGGGTGAAAGGTTATGGCCTATTGAGAAGGAACTGTGGGTCATGAAGTGTTTGTAGAATGATTACAGGTCAACCGGGCGCAAATCAAGGAGTAACCATCCTCAAGGATTAAAGATGACCTGTCGAAGGTGTTTTTAAGTACAGGTCAGTACAGTTCTTCCAAGAGTTGTGTGGTTCCTCCATTACTGTGTCTGTAAAATAGGTAAATTAATGAACTAGTAGAATAATCTTTGTATTTACTTGTAAATCTGTTAATACTGTAATCAGATGTCATATATCATAGTGATATATTATCAAGTGCAAATTATGTGTACAGTATATATATATATATATATATATATATATATATATATATATATATATATATATATATATATATATATATATATATATATATATATATATTTATATATAAACCAAGTTGAGTAACCTTGTTATCTTGAGGCAAACTCAAATATTATGTTATGTCTAATTCTCAGTTGTTTACATGAGGTAAACTTTAATGCTACTAATGTGGACATGTGATAAACAGAGGCCATATTGATTGTAAGAAACAAGGCAGCCATTATTTGTATCTCTCGTAAGACTCACTCAGGTTCTTGGCCAAGAATCTCAACGATGCACAGTAACCGTAGTTTTCCCCATACTGTACATTGTGGCAAGAGAGCTTTTGTATTTACGGTTGAGTTTCAATGCAATTTTGATTAAATCTTGGAAAATCAACTTTGTATATCACAGCGTAAGTGAGCCAGTATAATGTGACATCACTTTCCTGTACAGTACTAATTTATGAGAATCTTGGTCATGTTTACTGTGAGAATCCTAAAAGTCTTCTCGCCTTTCTGGTACAGTATCTGTTAAGGGAATTTTATCCTCATTGTGGAAAGACACCAATGAGGATGATGTTTTGTGTTGTTGTGAAGAGTTGGGAGGTATTTCCCGCCCCTGGGATGATGATGCCTCTTACTAAAACTCTGTAATGTGAGGCAACATCTTTTAATTTTCATGATGCCCATCAGGAAGAAATGATAACGGGTGTATAATATAACCATACCAAGCTTCTAAAGTGTTAGGGATGTAAATTCTGATTGGCTACATCTGCCTCGGTTAATTCTGATTGCTTATTTCACCCCTAGATTATTCTGATTGGCTAAGTTACTCGCACTTAGCCATGATAAGCAAAGTTAGTCCCCAGTTAGTTATTATTGGCTGCCACTCCTAGTTAATTATGATTGCTAATTCAATTCTTCTCTTAGTGCTGATTGGCTACAGTCACCCCCAGCTAATTCTGATTGGCTGTTATCCTGTTCTGAATGGCTAAAGTCACCATCCCAGTTAATTTTGTTTGGCCAAGTCCTCCTGAGTAAGGGTGACGGACAAACATGTCACAACAGGTACTTAAAAATGTCTTAATTCAGGTGGATTATGTTATATGTTCTTGTGTCTCGTGTGTGTTTGTATGGTGTGTATCTTGTATATTTTGTATGATAAAGTGTAATTATTGTATGTTACTGATACCTCATCAACCAGCGGCCTTAAATTGTTCCTAAAGTAAAACACTTCCTTTAAAAATGACAAATTGCAGTGTGTAGTATCTTACAAAACATTCTTCTGTTTTAGTTTGTCGTGTGAGACTTTTTTTTATGGAATTTTAAATCTAATCTTTAGGGCATTTATAAAACTTTATATTTAATTTTATGGAATTTAGGAGATTATGAATTATTCTATGGGGAATTTATAAGACTAAATTTCATCTTGGGAAATTTATAAATCGAATGAATTCATATATTTGTCATTTTAGGGATTTTATGAAACCTTCCAATATATATATACAGGTATATTTTTTTTTATCCTCCAGAAAATGGTAATACACAATAAGGATGTCCACCAGCCTTTGTAAATATGTTATATATATATAGTTTTATTAAAGTTGTTCAATGTGAATTTTTATCTTTTTTTATATTAACCTTGTCTCTGGCTTTTGTTGTTCATATACTGAAAAAAATAAAAGTTATAAAGAAGAATGATAAACAAAAGTATGTGGAAGACAAGATAAAGGGGAAGAAATTGAAGGTTATTTGTACAGAAAGCAAGAGTTAATTTGCAGTTGCATTATTGACAATTACTTGGCAGATGCAAACCCAGGATGTAGTGACAAGCTCGTGAGGTGAGTGGGTCAAGGGTACAGTGGGAGCCCATGATGTGTGCGGGCCAGAGGTGCAGTGAGTTGCTCGTGAGGTGAGTGGGTCAAGGGTACAGTGGGAGCCCATGATGTGTGTAGGCCAGCAGAGGTGCAGGAGGAGCCTGGAGGTGAGGGGTCAAGGGTACAGTGGGAGCCCATGATGTGTGCAGGCCAGGGGTGCAGTGAGGAGCTCGTGAGGTGAGTGGGTCAAGGGTACAGTGGGAGCCCATGATGTGTGTAGGCCAGGGGTGCAGTGAGAAGCTCGTGAGGTGAGCAGGCCTTCTACTGGTGTATGTTATATGAATTATGTCAAAATAACGATACGGACAAGAAAATGAAACCTAACCTAACCTAGCCGACATACTGTACTCCTCTTAACACCCCTTCCCATAGTCACACCCCCCTCCCCAGTCACCCCCCCTCCCCAGTCACACCCCTCCCAGTCAGTCACACCCTCCCCAGTCACACCCTCCCAGTCAGTCACACCCTCCCCAGTCACACCTCCCCAGTCACACACTCTCTCCCCAGTCACACCCTCCCCAGTCACACCCTCCCCAGTCACACCCCCCAGTCACACCCTCCCCCCAGTCACACCCCTCCCCAGTCACACACCCCTCCCCAGTCACACCCCCTCCCCAGTCACACCCCCCTCCCCCAGTCACACCCTCCCCAGTCACACCTCCCTCACACCATCACACCCCTCCCCAGTCACACCCCTCCCCAGTCACACCCTCCCCAGTCACACCCTCCCCAGTCACACCTGGTCACACCCTCCCCGGTCACACCCCCTCCCCAGTCACACCCCTCCCCAGTCACACACCTCCCGGTCACACACAGTCACACAGTCACACCTCCCAGTCACACCCTCCCAGTCACACACCTCCCTGGTCACACCCCTCCCCAGTCACACCCCTCCCCGGTCACACCCCTCCCCACAGCATCTGACTCCTATACAAGGTGAGCACAAGCCTGGCTAACTCTATAATGGTTTGGACAATAATTCATCCATTTTAAATCAGTGACCCCTGGCGTTCGGCAACTCTAACTCTTAATTACTGTTTAGTATGACCAACAACAGCTGAGCTACACTTGAATAACTGAACAAGTGAAGACTGCAGACCATCAGGGATTCGATCTCTTTACTTATTCCATTTCTGTAGTGTTCTCTGATCTGAATACTTTGACGTAATGAAAGTTGTGACTCGAATAAATCTCTCAATGACTTGGTCAGTTTGTTCTTTGAGGGTATACAGTAACTATAGGAAGCTGACCTCTAATGGGGCGGGTATTTGGTAGTGATAGGTATGAACACTGGAGTGATTACTATCAGCTGAAGTATTATACTCGTTGACGGTAAACTTTGTATGGGTGATTTGGAGAATTTTTTTGGAGAGTTTTACAAAATTTTATAGAGATTTGGGGATTTTTTTACTGATAAGTATGGGAATTGTTACCGAGTTCTGGGAATTATTACTGAAAGTTAGGGTAATTTTTTTTAAATTTTATGGAGAATTTTCCCGGGAAGTTTGGCTCTACTTTTTCAAGAATATTGGCCCTATTATCCCTCCAATTTCGACTATCTGTCCCCAGCAATTCGTGGCCCTATTTTCCAGGAAATTTAGGTCCAATTATTCCCTGGAACTTTGACCACATTGTCCTTTTTCCCAGAAATTCTTATCCTATTTTCCCAGGAATTTTTACCCAATTTACCGGTGAATTTGGGAAGTTATTTCCAAGGGAATTTGGTCCTATTTTTCCTGGAATTTTGCCCTTATTTTCCAGGTGGTGATAAACCACAAAAGGCGTGAAAAACAGTAAGAGAACCGCTATAAAACCACGGAAAATCGTGAAAAGTGCGGAAAAAGCAAAACAAAAACGAAAAACACCATGAAAATCGCGAAATACGTCTAAAAAAATTAAAAAGCCATGTGTCTCCCAGCTGGATTCGGTAAAATGCTACTCCGACGACATAGTTGCACAGGCAATCCCCAATGGAGGTTCACATCTTGACCATGTGGGCTTCTTTTAATCTCTAACTACTCTTTAACAATGGTTTCCCTAGGAGATTTACAGACACTTATATTAGCAAAACCCTTAATTGTTTTTTTAGTCCCACACAGCCTCAAATCCACAGTCCCTAAATATTCTATCTATCTCACCATACCGTACACAGGCCCACTCAGTTTCACCCTCAGAAATAAACTTAAGAAGCTTTTCAATAAATTCTATCCACAAATTTCTCTTAGACTAATCCTTAAAACCCAGAGTTCAATTAAAAAATTATTTAAAATTAAAGACACCATACCCACACACCTGCAATCCTCAGTTGTTTATCAATTTACGTGTGCTAGCTGTAGGGCAGCATATATAGGTAAAACTAAAAGACATTTGACATCTCGCATCCATGAACACTTGGCCCGTTCCGTTCGAACAGGCCAGTTAATCGCACAACCACCACATTCAGCTATTCGTAACCACGCCCACCAACATGACAACCCGTTTTCGCCGTCTGATTTCTCAGTTCTTGGCAGAAGCGACTGTGATACAGACCTCCTCATGGAGGCATTACACCGGTATAAAGCAAAGCCATCTTTTTGTGATGTGGCCTCTAGTGAATTGTGTTTTTCTCACCAAGGCTCGTCTGAATTAAGGTAATACACCCCCCTCAATATTTTATTTCAAACTTTTTATTCCTGATTTTAGCTTTGTATGTAGGTCTCTCGTCATTTTTGTCGGTTTTCAATTGGATTGCTCTTTTTTAAATTTTTTAAGTTTATCGAAGGTAAATTTTCGTATAATATTATGTTTTTTTGTATATCACCTGTATTTTTTTAAACTTTTTCAAAACTTTTGTGTTTTTACGCTCTGATGATGGAAAACGATTATTTCCGAAACGTTAGCGATTAAAAGAAGCCCACATGGTCAAAAATTTTTTGTTTACCCTGGTTCTCCTCTTCGTTATAAAACTACGCTTTCCACGTAATAAGTCTATTGCTGAAGTTTATATATATATATATATATATATATATATATATATATATATATATATATATATATTATATAATGTTTCTGGCTGTCGATGAATTATTAATTTTTTCTATTACTTGTTTTAGTAACTTAGTTTGTATGTATGTAGTTGCCTGTTTTATTGTTTGTAATGGTATTGCCACATTTTCTTTTTAACGAGACATGGCCTTGCTGAATGGATATGTTACTGGTGCAATTCCAAGTTTTTAATCTCGCAGATGCTATTATATCTGCCAAGTCGTTATAAAATTAAAACAAAAAACCTCCGTAAACTAAGAGCACAAGATAACTAGTAATCTCACTGGGTTATTTGTTAAAAATAAGTAAGTTCCAATAATAAATGTGATTTCCCGCCAATGGTCGAGTGTTGGTAAACACTTATGGCGAGCAGTGACGTCCATATTTGGATTATCAGTTTTTGCCGCCGTGCGTCGGATTTGGTCATGATCATAGTCTGTGTTTTGAAGTCAGTTCTTAAGGCTTGTTTTATCTCGTGGATACTTTTAATAAAGTAACTCTTTACTCTTTACTTTCCTGGAACACACGGCCATATCCAGCAAGTGCTTTTAATAAAATAATCCGGACTGAATACTTTTAGTAATTTACAACAAAACGTAGATGCTTTTAAGAAATTAACCTCTTACTGGCTATCATCCACCGATTTATAGTATTATGTAGTAGATGGTGTCAATAAACTATTTATAAAACATTTTCCGACTATCGGTAGCGATATCTATCATGTTTTTATCCGTGTAATTCTTAATACAACACAATTTCTAAATATTTGAACCAACAGGCAGCAGATACTTTTAAGGAATTGACAACAAAGAACAAGCATCCTTTAAATCACAACAGCAATACCTATCAGATGTTTTTAATGAACGGGCATCATGGAATAACCTTTCTCGTGCCTTAGCGGCAATATACAGCAGATGCGTTCAATAAATTTGCTTTAATACGCAACTGCCTTACATGGCGCGGCTCAGTGAGTGCTGAGTCGCACTGGCTGTCATATCGTGCGAGGGATCCAAACATAACACCACTTGGGCTATATTTACCGCCAAAATATTACTTCTGATGAACTAGAATAAAAGTCGCCAGGTTGTTTCAGCACAGTTTCTGTTTAAAAATATTTCCTCTCAAATCTCGGGGCTTATTGCTGTAATGCCAAGGATACTTTTCTCAGGACCCGAGTCTACATGCTTCTTGACAACGAAGAAAAGTAACTTACATTTATTCTAAAATTTAACAATATTTCCCTTTTATTAATTTGGCCTGAGTTTCTATAAAATAGAGAGTAATATTTACAACTCAAAAGCATATATCCCCTAGTAACAAGGACGTTTCTATAAAAAAACAAAAAAAATATTCCCAAATTGGTAACGGTGTCACTGACGTATAGCGTTATTACGAGTGTTTTAAAGTTTGTATGAATATCTGTATACGTTATGTATACATTGACATTACGTATGTGTTTGTATATGTAGCTTAATAGACATAAACAGAGGAATATTTAAAGTATATATCTAACATTAGTATTCACATTACTAGATATGTGTACTGTATAATTTCGTGGATTGAGAACAAGAACAAATAGAGTGGTTTGAATATATTTCCTGGATTAATAATATATAATAGACAGGTATTGAAATATTTCACGTATATCCTCAAGAACAAACTCCAAGTAGAATATATTGTAGCCGCACCTCCAACACCCAGCCGCACCTCCAACACC